ACTGAGCATCTGACATTCTGGAGGACGGGAAGAAGGGGGTCATAGCTTGACCCAGCCCTAGAGGCAGTGCACCTCTCATCTCTCTCTCTCTCTGTTTCTCTCTGTCTCTCACATTCATATGTGCATGCACACACTCTACCGTGACTACAGATGAACAAGGACAAGAGATAACAAGTGTTGGCAAGGATGCAGAGAAAAGGGAACCCTTGTATACTGTTGGATAGAATATAAATTGCGGGGGCCAGCAGATAGAATAGCGGTTCTGTCCCTGGATTCCCACATAGCTGACTGCAGTTCGAGTCCCCAACCTGGTGACTAGGAACTCACACCAGGCACGTGTGTGTATGTGTGTGTGTGTGCATGCCCAAGATCCCAGGAGAATGGAGAAGGGATTAGGGTGTGACTATGGCCCTGGGGGGGGGGGGGGATTTCTCACTTTCCCTCTCACTGTCTCTGTTTTTTGTCTCTCCAGTGAGTGCAAGTGCCCTAAGGCAAAAACCTCTTACAAAACAACAACAACAACAACAACAAAAAGAGAGGGCAGCAGGTGGTGTGGTGATTAGGGGTGCTTGATTTCCATGTGGTTAACCATGGTTCAAGTCCTGAACCTGGCGGCTTGATTTCTCATTTTCTCTCTCTCTCTCTTCGTCCCTCTCTGGTCAAATTATTAAAAAAAATAATAATAAACAGGTAGATAAATGAAGTTGAATAAAATAATTATTTAAAAAAAAGAGTATAAATGGGTACAACCATTATGGGAAGCAGCATGGAGGCACCTGAAAAATGAAGAATAGGGCGGCCATACGTTTCAGCAATCTCCTTTCTGGATAAATCCAAAGGGAGTGAAATAAACATCTGAAAGTGACATCTGCTTCCCACATTCACTGCGACTTTATTCACCATAGTCGGGGATGAAAACAACCAAGTGTCTGTTGATGGGTGAATGAACAAAGATGTAGCATACAAATACAGTATTATCCAGCCTTATAAAAGAAGGAGATCTTGGGATGAGCAGATGGCATAGTGGTTATATTGCTGGACTCCCACATAGTCGACTGTGGTTCAAGTTCCGGACCCGGCAACTTAAGACTCACACCCGGCATGTGTGCATGTGTGCATGTGTGCACGTGTGCATGTGTGCCCCAAATCCTGAGAGAATGGAGAAGGGATTGCAGTGTGGCCATCCCCTCTGGGGGATGATTTCTTGCTTTCTGTCTTTCTGTCTCTCCAGCGAGTGCATGTGCTCTGTAGCAAAAACCCTTTTAAAAAAAGGAAAAAGACCAGCAGGTGGTGTGGTGGTTAAGGGCACTGGGATTCCCACGTGGCCAACCGCAGTTCAGTTCTCAGACCTGGCGGCTTGATTTCTCATCCTCTCTCTCTCACTCTGTCCCTCTCTGGTCAAATTAAATAAATAAATAAAGTTAAATAAAATCAATCTTTTTTTTAGAAAAGGAGGCGATCTTATTATTTGTGACGACGTGGGTGGAGCTAGAGGACAGTGTGCTGAGTAAAATGGGCCTGACCCAGAAAGACGAAATACTGCGTGGTCTCACTTAGCATGGGATCTGAGACGCAGAGGAGGCGATGGTTTCTCAGACCGGATGGGGGAGGATGAAGGAGACGTAGCCGCCGTCCCCAGGACTGGGCTGTCCCACAGAACCTGGAGCCAGCACCTCATCCTACTTTGAGTGAACACTGTAGCATTCAAGACAGAGCTTTGAGAGGACTCTCAGGTTGTTAGGTGAATCTCAGGTAGAGCGTTGTTTTTTTTTTTTTTTTTCCTTTTCTTGGAGAGGTTTTTGCTATAGGGTGCATGCGCTTGCCAGATAGATAGAGAGAGACATAGAGACAGAAAGCGAGAAATCACTCCCCCCCAGGGGGGATGGCCACACCGCAGTTCCTTCTCCATTCTCCTCTTGGGATCTTGGGCACGCACGCACACACGCTTGGCGTGAGTTTTAAGCCACTGGGTCCGGGACATGAACCGCCGTCGACTACGTGAGAATCCAGTGACATAACCATTACGCTAACTGCTGGTCCCTGGCATGAGTTTTTTTAAGCCACCGGGTCCGGGACACGAACCGCGGTCGACCACATGGGAGTCCAGCGACATAGCCATTACGCTAACTGCTGGTCCCTCAGGTAGAGCTTTTACAGTTGTATATTGGTAAAGGTTTAACGATGGCTCTCTGAATTTAAAATAAATAAATAAATACGCATTTATCTGTAGAGTTTGCCATTTTCCATGATGTCAGCACTGAACTGCTGGGGCTGGCAGGTGGCGTGGTGGTTAAGGGTGCGGGATTCTCATGTGGCTGACTGCAGTTTGAGTCCCAGACGGGAGGCTTGCTTTCTCACTTTCCTTCTCTCTCTCGCTCACTCTGTCCCTTTCTGGTCAAATTACAATAAATAAAGGAAGAAAGAGCTGAACTGCGAGTCTGGCTGATGTCAGGCTGCTACGGTGAAATTACTCACACACAGTGGGACGGGGTGTGCAGGCCCTCACTCTGACAGAGGTGATACGATAGACGCGGACGGTCTGGAAGTACAGAGATTAGTCGAAATAGCTAGGACCGAACGAGTTTTGAATATTTATGGGATTTTTTTTTTTTTGAGAGAGATTTTTCCTATAGGACGCATGTGCTCACCGGAGAGATGGAGAGAGACAGAGAGACAGAGAGCGAGAAATCACCCCAGTGGGGATGGCCACACCACAATCCCTTCTCCTACATTCTCCTCTTGGGATCTTGGGCACGCACGCACATGTGCCCAATGTGAATTTTAAGTCGCTGGGTCTGGGACTTGAACCACAATTGACTACGTGGGAGTCCAGCAACGCAGACATTACCCATTACACCATCTGCTGGGCCCATATTGATTGATTGATTTCTTTCTTTCTTTCTTTTTTGAGAAGGTTTTGCGTGCGCTCACCAGAAAGACAGAGAGACAGAGAGACAGAGAGACAGAGAGACAGAAAGCGAGAAAACATCCCCCGGGGGGATGGCTGCGCCGCAATCCCTTCTCCTCCATTCTCCTCTCGGGATCTTGGGCACACACGCACACACGCCCGGTATGAGTTCAAGCCACCGGGTCTGGGAATCGAACCGTGGCAGTCCAGCGACATAGCCATTACACCAACTGCTGGTCTCTTGATTTCATTTCTAAAACAAACATTTTTCTTAAGGTTTTTGCCATAAGGCATGTACACTTGCTGAAGAGAGACAGAGAGAGGGAAAGTGAGAAATCACCCCAAACAGGGATGGCCACACCACAATCCCTTCTCCTCCAGTCTTCTCTCAGGATTTTGGGCACACACACACACACACACATACACACACAGAGTGTGATTTTTCAAACAGCCGGGTTTGGGGCTTGAACCATGGTGAGCCACATGGGAGTCCATTGCCTTAACCACCATGCCAGTGGTTGACCCCCATCAAATAAATGTTTTAACTGTAGGTTCATGTCCTTTAATTTTTAATAATGGCTGTATTTAGCAACCGGCTCTCAAAATTCCTGAAAATTTGCCCGTCGGATCTTGCAAGCTGGTACGAGCTGGTTCTGACGCACACTAGGCCGGCTGCCCAGCCCGAGTTTATGGGCCTTTTTACTCCCAGGGACTCTGCTTTCCTGTTAAGTTAGGTTTATTGCTTCCTGCCCTGCTGGACGAGAAGCCCGGTGAGGACGACAGAGACTGGCTGCCGGGGCCCCAGTGCTTCCCCCGCAGCCAGCACGAGGCCGGCGCATGGCCGTCCGCAGCGGTCAGAAGCGAGAAGAGAACCAGGTCCCTAAGCCGACAGCATGTGACAACGCACGTTTTCCCAGGGCGTGGGGTGTTCTCAGGGCCATTCTCGTTAGGGTGGGGAGGAAGGGAGGGACCCGGCGCCAGGGCTGAAGCGTGGAAATATTAATAGGCAAAGACGAGAAGGCTTTGCCTCGACTTGAGCTCGAGAGCGTGATTAACTCAACTTTCCTCACCCGAGATCGCTTCAGGACCGCGAGCGCCTTTCTCTTTGCACGAGGCTCCAGGAAACGAGGCAGTCCCTGGCCCTGCACCGCAGCAGCCGCAGCAGCCGCGGAGAGGAGGCCGCAAGCTTGCGGTCCTGCTCCAGGTCACGCCTCAGGGCGGGGAGCTCCCCTCTGGACGCCAGGCACAGTGACGATGGGGACCGGGTGGGGACAGCAGACCCCGGGAAGCAACGTGCCCATTAGGCCCTGTAGGACTCTGGCTGCCCTGGGGCACGATGGAGCCCATGACCTTGTTTCTGGAATGAATGAAATAAACGGATGAATGAAGTCTGGGATGACGCCATTGCTATGGCTGCTATTTCCAGAGGCGTTTTATTTGCGTTTGTGTGTGAACCCCTAGAAAGCTCCCCAGGACTTGCCCTCCGGTGTGTCTCCATCTTGCTTCTCCGTGGTTGGCGATGCCGGCTGAGGCTGTCGGACGATGGGAGCGAACTGAGGGGAAGGGGCTGAGGATGCCGCCATTCGCTCCCTCCAGTCTGGGCTGACGCCGCTCGGCTAACCTGCTGGCGAGGCCCACGACCATGGTCACTGAGATCTCAAATTCGCCAAGGTAACTGCTTCATCGTCGCAGTGAGAAAGCGGGCAACGACTTTGGAGCCTGGCCTAGTAAGCCTGGTCTCTCTTTTGGGCCTTGTTGATGCTCTTGGGGACGTCAGCCAGGACGTCACTGTGACGTCACGGAAATGGCGGAAAGAGTCCATTCTTGCTATTATTTACGTGGTCCCTGGAGACAGGAAGAGTTTTGGAAATTAGCTTTTGTTGGACTCAGACATCCGCGAGACTTTCTGCTCCTGCCCCCTGAGTAACAGTGGGTGGGAGAAAGCCTGGAGCCACAGATCTGGGAGACAGATCAGAGCCCCGGGCTGGGGTCCTGGCTCTGAGGGGAGGGGTCTGAGCGGGGGACGTGGGGGCCTGGGCTCCTGGGCTCCTGGGCCCTGGTGGGGGGCAGCTGCCAGGCCAGTACGTGGAGGTCAGCTGCTCTGCATGGTGCTCTGGATCCAGCTGTGGTACATGCACAGGTTGGCGTAGACCCCAGGATAGCCAGGCCGGCCGCAGTGCTCCATCCCCCAGGACACGAGGCCCTGGAGCTGTCCTCTGCACACCAGGGGTCCCCCGGAGTCACCCTGAGGGGAAGGACAGAGATGCAGACTCAGTGGATGGACAGACAGGCAGAGAACCGGCCCGACCTGAGACCTTAGCCCTAGGTGTGTGGGGGTGTTCCTCCCTCTCACTGCTGCTGCTCAGATTCGCACCTCTGATCTTGGGGTCTCAGGGCCCCTCCCCGTCTCTGCTCTGGTCCTGAGGGCTCCATGTGTCCTTCGCTGCCCTGTTTCCACCTCAGGGATGGATTAGGGTCCCCAGAGGTCCCGTGGTTTCCCAAATGCCCATTGGTCCTGGATGGCTCCACACTCTGCCCGTGGACACTCGGCTCCCCCAGCGCCCACCCTGGGCCTCACCTGACAAGAGTCTTTCCCGCCTTGGGGGTCCCCCGCACAGACCATGCCGGCTGTGATGGCGCGGGGGTAGGCCCGCTGGCACTCCTGATCCGTGGAGATGTTGATGTTCACACACTGCAGACCTTTGGGGTACCTGACTGGGAGGGAGGGCATGAAGGGTTCCCCTCCAGCAAGACCCAGGCCCCGGCCCCAGCCCTCCTCCCTCGGACCCGGGGCCTGCCTCTGCCACAGCGGTCCTCACCGATGGGGCTGGATATGGCCCCCAGCCCTCCTCCCTCGGACCCTTGACCTCTGGGTTCTAACGGAGCCCTGGGTTAGGGTCTAGACCCAAGGCCCCCGAGGCTGTTTGTACTCTGTGCTTTATTTTCTGTACTCTGGAGTGAGCTCTGATCTGCAGGCCTAGGCTGGACTTCAGTTTCTGGCATCAGCTCTGACGCCTAGGCCCCAGGGACCCGCCTCTCCCACAGTGGTCCTCACCGATGGGGCTGGATATGGTCCCCCAGCCCGACACCAGGCAGGAGGTCCCAGGGCTGGCGCAGGACAGGGCCACCGTGATGGGCGTCACTGCCCTCCCCAGCCGGGCAGCCGGCTCCAGCTTCAGCAGCATCAGGTCGTTGTCGTGGGTCCCAGAGTTGTAGCGGGGGTGTGGCACCTGGCGAACCACACGCAGCACCTGCTCGGTGGCCTCCCGCCTCCTCAGGTTGTGCTTGCCCAGGGCCACCCGCAGGATCCTGGCCGGGGACCCCAAAGAGCGGCTCTCCTCTGGTCTGACCTGAGGCCCGGCCCAGCTCCAGCCCATCCCACCCGTGGGGACGCGCTCCCTTCTCACTGCAGACTGCGTGGGCTTAGGGTGAGGCCGGGCCTCCTGGGGGTGAGGGTCTGCTGAGGGTCTAGCTCTGGGCCGAGCAGTCTCCCCGCCAAGCCCCCCGGCTGACTGGCCCTCCTCTCTGGGGCTCTCCTCTCTGGTCTGGGTATGAGGTGGTGCTGGGGTTTCCTGGCTCAGCCCCAGGGTCTGTGCTGGGTTCTCTGGGTTCTGAGAAGACTGTTTATGGCTCGAGATTCCAGATTTGAGTGTTCTGGGCTGGGCTCCATCCTGGTTCTGCTGTGGACTCTAGATCCAGGCGTTTTTCAGAGGTTAGGATCAGAGTTCTAGGTCCTGTTCTGATTTCCAGATCCTGGTGAGAGCTTTTTCTTTTAGGTCAGGGTGAAGGTTCTGTACTAAGCAATGGATTACCCATGAGCTTTGGATTCCAGGCACTAGAGCACTCGCCAGAGAGACGGAGAGAGACAGAAAGTGAGAAACCACTCCCAGGGGAAACGGCCACACCGCAATCCCTTCTCCTCCATTCTCCTTCTGGGATTTTGGATATGCGTGCACACATGCCCGGCTGAGTTGTAAGCTGCAAGGTCCAGGACTTGAACTGCTGTTGACTATGTGGGAGTCCAGCCACATAACCATTATGCCGGCTGTTGGTCCCTAGCTCTGGGTACTTTACTGAGCTCTGGCTCCTGACCAGAGATTAGACACTGGTTTGAGCTCTGTGCTCTGGGTTCTAAACATCGGTCTGAACCCTATTCCAGCCTGGGTTGTTTCAGAGTGAATCACGGGTATACCCTGAGCTTCTGGTTCTAGACTTTGGCCTGAGCCCTTGACCTCTGGGTTCTAATGGAGCCCTGGGTTAGGGTCTAGACCCAAGGCCCCAGAGGCTGTTTGTACTCTGTGCTTTATTTTCTATACTCCGGAGTGAGCTCTGATCTGCAGGCCTAGGCTGGACTTCAGTTTCTGGCATTAGCTCTGACACCTAGGCCCCACGGGAGCGCGCGCCTGGGCCTGCAGCTTGCGTTCCAGCTGTGTGGGGTTCTGGATTTGCAGCCACACTACAGGTATGGAACTGAGCTCTGGGTTCTAGCAGCGTCTGGGTTTCTCAATGGACTGTGGCCCTGGATCCAATTCCCAATCTGGAATGGGCTAGTCTTGGTCTCTGGATGGCCTTTGGGTTATATGTTAAGTTCTAAACTGCCCTGGGAGTTCTAAGCTGCCAACCTGCTTTTGGGATCTAAACTGAATTCAAGATTCATGGCTGGCATGCAGGTCCTGAGCTGTGTCTTTGCTCTAGCCTGGTCTCTATGGACTCTGGTTCACAGATGGGCTCTGGGGCGCTTGACTCCGGGACTCGCTGGGCACGAGGACAGACGAGGGGACTCACGGGCGGGCGCAGTGAGCCGCGGTGATGGCCCACTGGTCCGACAGCAGGGCTGCTCCGCAGAAGAAGCGACGTGCAGGGCCTGCGAGCAGAGCCCCTTGCCACGGCTGGGAGTTCTGGACGCACGTGTAGCCGCCAATTATCTTGTTCTCATCCTCCTGGCTCTGGGCCACGGCTGGGATTAGACAGGGGTGCGGTGGAGTGGGGAAAGGAGAGCAGAAGCGCTCCACCTCCCAGCTCTGTAAGGTGTCCTGCCTTTTGGTTTAACCCCTCCACCGCCCCGTCTACCTGCCGTCCAGGGCCTTGATCCCAGGTGGCCTCAACACAACCAGGGTGCTGACACCCCCGGGCCATCTCATGGTCTCTATTACTTTGTCCCAGTCACCCCACCCTTGCTACATCCGTGACTCTTCCCTCTGTCGTGGACACTTTCAGTGGCTTCTCACAAGGCCACACTGCCGGTCAGTGCTTCCCCAACACAGTCGGGGGCTCCCTGCCTCTTCCCAACCCTCCCACTCATTGGGGCCCCAGATCCACAATCTCCCCCAGGATCCACATCTCCCCAGGATCCATTATGTTCCCCCAAGATCCACTATCTCACCCCAGGATCCACCATCTCCCCTGGGATCCATCATCTGCCCCAGGATCCATCATCTCCCCCGGGATCCACTATCTCCCCCGGGATCCACCATCTCCCCCAGGATCCACTATCTCCCCCGGGATCCACTATCTCCCCTGGGATCCATGATCTCCTCTGAGATCCACTATCTCCCCTGGGATCCACTATCTCCCCGGGATCCACCATCTCCCCAGGATTCACCATCTCCCCCAGGATCCACTATCTCCTCCGGCCAAGCACTGCACCCACCACTGCCACGAAGCCAGTGCCGGTCCTCATCCGCCTCTACTCTAACGACAAACCATCTTCCCCGGGGCGTTTCCTCCCCGTGGCCGTTTCCTCCCCGTGGCCGTCCTTTCTGACAGACCTCTCAGGAACTCGGGGTTCTCCACAGTTGCGTACCTACTCCTCCCCACTCCTGCAGCCTCCTGCGGCCACGCGGCTCCCTGCCCCGCAACCCTCTGGTACGCCACGGCTCAGAACTCGGGTCTCCAGCAGGGCCCTCAGCCTCGACCCCCAAATGACTCCCTGCTCTTTCTCCCCGGACCATGAGCATTCGGGGCTGCAAGACCCTTCCTCATCTCTCGGCGTCTCCGGGGGACCCCTTGTCTCACACCCACCGCGCTCTTACCCACGGCCAGGACTTGAAGTGCCGTCAGCAGAAAGAACATCGTGGAGGCTGGGCACCGGGTTCCGGCAAATGCAGGGACAGTGAGAGACCAGGGGTCTGGGAAGTAGAGACGGCCACTCACGCAGAGACCAAGACCCTCAGAGACATGGAGACAGGGCAGAGAGCTACAGGCCAGAGGTCGCGAGGGCGGGGCCTGGCGGCTCCTTGGGAGACAGGCAGGAGGCTGCGGAGCAGGGCTGCGGTCTGGCCCAGGACGGCCTGTGCATGAAGGGAGCAGGGTGGAGTCTCTGCCCTCGTCATGCCACGGCAGCCTTTTATCCCTGGTCCGGGGCGCTCACCCCAGGATCCACCATCTCCCCTGGGATCCATCATCTGCCCCAGGATCCATCATCTCCCCCGGGATCCACTATCTCCCCCGGGATCCACCATCTCCCCCAGGATCCACTATCTCACCCCAGGATCCACCATCTCCCCTGGGATCCATCATCTGCCCCAGGATCCATCATCTCCCCCGGGATCCACTATCTCCCCCGGGATCCACCATCTCCCCCAGGATCCACTATCTCACCCCAGGATCCACCATCTCCCCTGGGATCCATCATCTGCCCCAGGATCCATCATCTCCCCCGGGATCCACTATCTCCCCCGGGATCCACCATCTCCCCCAGGATCCACTATCTCACCCCAGGATCCACCATCTCCCCTGGGATCCATCATCTGCCCCAGGATCCATCATCTCCCCCGGGATCCACTATCTCCCCCGGGATCCACCATCTCCCCCAGGATCCACTATCTCACCCCAGGATCCACCATCTCCCCTGGGATCCATCATCTGCCCCAGGATCCATCATCTCCCCCGGGATCCACTATCTCCCCCGGGATCCACCATCTCCCCCAGGATCCACTATCTCACCCCAGGATCCACCATCTCCCCTGGGATCCATCATCTGCCCCAGGATCCATCATCTCCCCCGGGATCCACTATCTCCCCCGGGATCCACCATCTCCCCCAGGATCCACTATCTCACCCCAGGATCCACCATCTCCCCTGGGATCCATCATCTGCCCCAGGATCCATCATCTCCCCCGGGATCCACTATCTCCCCCGGGATCCACCATCTCCCCCAGGATCCACTATCTCACCCCAGGATCCACCATCTCCCCTGGGATCCATCATCTGCCCCAGGATCCATCATCTCCCCCGGGATCCACTATCTCCCCCGGGATCCACCATCTCCCCCAGGATCCACTATCTCACCCCAGGATCCACCATCTCCCCTGGGATCCATCATCTGCCCCAGGATCCATCATCTCCCCCGGGATCCACTATCTCCCCCGGGATCCACCATCTCCCCCAGGATCCACTATCTCACCCCAGGATCCACCATCTCCCCTGGGATCCATCATCTGCCCCAGGATCCATCATCTCCCCCGGGATCCACTATCTCCCCCGGGATCCACCATCTCCCCCAGGATCCACTATCTCACCCCAGGATCCACCATCTCCCCTGGGATCCATCATCTGCCCCAGGATCCATCATCTCCCCCGGGATCCACTATCTCCCCCGGGATCCACCATCTCCCCCAGGATCCACTATCTCACCCCAGGATCCACCATCTCCCCTGGGATCCATCATCTGCCCCAGGATCCATCATCTCCCCCGGGATCCACTATCTCCCCCGGGATCCACCATCTCCCCCAGGATCCACTATCTCACCCCAGGATCCACCATCTCCCCTGGGATCCATCATCTGCCCCAGGATCCATCATCTCCCCCGGGATCCACTATCTCCCCCGGGATCCACCATCTCCCCCAGGATCCACTATCTCACCCCAGGATCCACCATCTCCCCTGGGATCCATCATCTGCCCCAGGATCCATCATCTCCCCCGGGATCCACTATCTCCCCCGGGATCCACCATCTCCCCCAGGATCCACTATCTCACCCCAGGATCCACCATCTCCCCTGGGATCCATCATCTGCCCCAGGATCCATCATCTCCCCCGGGATCCACTATCTCCCCCGGGATCCACCATCTCCCCCAGGATCCACTATCTCACCCCAGGATCCACCATCTCCCCTGGGATCCATCATCTGCCCCAGGATCCATCATCTCCCCCGGGATCCACTATCTCCCCCGGGATCCACCATCTCCCCCAGGATCCACTATCTCACCCCAGGATCCACCATCTCCCCTGGGATCCATCATCTGCCCCAGGATCCATCATCTCCCCCGGGATCCACTATCTCCCCCGGGATCCACCATCTCCCCCAGGATCCACTATCTCACCCCAGGATCCACCATCTCCCCTGGGATCCATCATCTGCCCCAGGATCCATCATCTCCCCCGGGATCCACTATCTCCCCCGGGATCCACCATCTCCCCCAGGATCCACTATCTCACCCCAGGATCCACCATCTCCCCTGGGATCCATCATCTGCCCCAGGATCCATCATCTCCCCCGGGATCCACTATCTCCCCCGGGATCCACCATCTCCCCCAGGATCCACTATCTCACCCCAGGATCCACCATCTCCCCTGGGATCCATCATCTGCCCCAGGATCCATCATCTCCCCCGGGATCCACTATCTCCCCCGGGATCCACCATCTCCCCCAGGATCCACTATCTCACCCCAGGATCCACCATCTCCCCTGGGATCCATCATCTGCCCCAGGATCCATCATCTCCCCCGGGATCCACTATCTCCCCCGGGATCCACCATCTCCCCCAGGATCCACTATCTCACCCCAGGATCCACCATCTCCCCTGGGATCCATCATCTGCCCCAGGATCCATCATCTCCCCCGGGATCCACTATCTCCCCCGGGATCCACCATCTCCCCCAGGATCCACTATCTCACCCCAGGATCCACCATCTCCCCTGGGATCCATCATCTGCCCCAGGATCCATCATCTCCCCCGGGATCCACTATCTCCCCCGGGATCCACCATCTCCCCCAGGATCCACTATCTCACCCCAGGATCCACCATCTCCCCTGGGATCCATCATCTGCCCCAGGATCCATCATCTCCCCCGGGATCCACTATCTCCCCCGGGATCCACCATCTCCCCCAGGATCCACTATCTCACCCCAGGATCCACCATCTCCCCTGGGATCCATCATCTGCCCCAGGATCCATCATCTCCCCCGGGATCCACTATCTCCCCCGGGATCCACCATCTCCCCCAGGATCCACTATCTCACCCCAGGATCCACCATCTCCCCTGGGATCCATCATCTGCCCCAGGATCCATCATCTCCCCCGGGATCCACTATCTCCCCCGGGATCCACCATCTCCCCCAGGATCCACTATCTCACCCCAGGATCCACCATCTCCCCTGGGATCCATCATCTGCCCCAGGATCCATCATCTCCCCCGGGATCCACTATCTCCCCCGGGATCCACCATCTCCCCCAGGATCCACTATCTCCCCTGGGATCCACCATCTGCCTCAGGATCCACCATCTCCCCCAGGATCCACTATCTCCCCCGGGATCCACTATCTCCCCTGGGATCCATGATCTCCTCTGAGATCCACTATCTCCCCTGGGATCCACTATCTCCCCGGGATCCACCATCTCCCCAGGATTCACCATCTCCCCCAGGATCCACTATCTCCTCCGGCCAAGCACTGCACCCACCACTGCCACGAAGCCAGTGCCGGTCCTCATCCGCCTCTACTCTAACGACAAACCATCTTCCCCGGGGCGTTTCCTCCCCGTGGCCGTTTCCTCCCCGTGGCCGTCCTTTCTGACAGACCTCTCAGGAACTCGGGGTTCTCCACAGTTGCGTACCTACTCCTCCCCACTCCTGCAGCCTCCTGCGGCCACGCGGCTCCCTGCCCCGCAACCCTCTGGTACGCCACGGCTCAGAACTCGGGTCTCCAGCAGGGCCCTCAGCCTCGACCCCCAAATGACTCCCTGCTCTTTCTCCCCGGACCATGAGCATTCGGGGCTGCAAGACCCTTCCTCATCTCTCGGCGTCTCCGGGGGACCCCTTGTCTCACACCCACCGCGCTCTTACCCACGGCCAGGACTTGAAGTGCCGTCAGCAGAAAGAACATCGTGGAGGCTGGGCACCGGGTTCCGGCAAATGCAGGGACAGTGAGAGACCAGGGGTCTGGGAAGTAGAGACGGCCACTCACGCAGAGACCAAGACCCTCAGAGACATGGAGACAGGGCAGAGAGCTACAGGCCAGAGGTCGCGAGGGCGGGGCCTGGCGGCTCCTTGGGAGACAGGCAGGAGGCTGCGGAGCAGGGCTGCGGTCTGGCCCAGGACGGCCTGTGCATGAAGGGAGCAGGGTGGAGTCTCTGCCCTCGTCATGCCACGGCAGCCTTTTATCCCTGGTCCGGGCAGGCCCTGCCCCACCGCCACGCTTCTTCTGACTTTTTTTTATTGCCTACTTCCCATTCCAGGACTCCCTGGTCCATCCCCTCCCTCTCCTTTCTGGCCAGAGAAGCAGCCGCAATTGCTAATGAGAACCTGCCCTGCAAAGGTGTTATAATCTGGAAGGAATCCGGGAGTGGGACCCCGGGCAGGGGAGGAATCCCAGTGGACCGTGGTGGAGTAACGAAATCAGGGTGGGGGGCTCTGAGGCGTTGGGAGCGGCCGAGAGGGAGGGACAGGCTCCCAGAGAGGCCACCGAGGAGAGAGCTGGCAAGTGGGAGTGAGAAACTACGCAGGCGGAAACCCAGAGAAAGGGTCAGACATGCAGACTGGGGGACACTCCTCGGAGCAGAGGGCCCCGGGGAGGCCAAGGAAGAGGAGGAGGCGAAGGGAGGGAGGGAAAGGGCAGAGAGAGAAGGGAGGCAGAGATGTGGGGAGAGATGGACAGGGAACAGGATGACAGGAGGAAGAAAGCCGCGACAGGACAGAGCAGGCTCAGAGGAAGGACAGGCAGACGCTGTCCTCGTCCCCACAGGCACACACACGTGCGGAAGGGCCGCTGGGGCGGGTGTTCGGAGACAAGGCAGGGGAGAAGCCGGTGCCCAAGGGGAGAAGGAGGGGGAGGGAGCCTCACGGGTGAATG